GGGGGGGGGGATAGTGGCTTTATACCTATTTTATTCTATTGTATATGAGTATTTTCTATGCAGCCAGTATCTGAAGCGTTAGGTCACCTTTACATGTTTTCCAGTTTCTCCTTACCTCCTGTTGTAAAAAGTCTGGTGTTTGCAGAGCTCAATAACACTAACTCAGAATTGCAGACATATGAGTCTCAACAGTGACTCCTTACCCTCCCACTTCCTCTTTTCTAAAGGTGGCCATACACTTTACAACCATCGCAAGACCTTAGTCTTGCGATGGATGTAAAGTAATTAAAAAAACGTACGATCTGCCCATCTTGGACAGGCAGATCGTACTTGCGATCATCGCAAGCCTGCCCCCCTGAGGGGCGGGCTTCCGATGACCGCAATGCTGAACGGGCAGTGTGCGCGTGCGCACACCGGCCTGTGCGGCATTGATCTTACGAACATGCTAAAAACCAGCCGTAAATCGCACCATTCTCGGCTGGTTTTCTAGCATGCTCCTTAGACAAAAGACGTGCGACCGTACAGTAAAAACGGTCGCACGCCTTCCATACACTTTGCGATTATCATACGATCGCGGGATTTCCTGCAATTATCGTGCGATAATCGCACAGTGTATGGGCACCTTAAGACTCTGTGCGAGGTTTCAATCAGAGACAGAACGTTTAAAAGTAGACAGCTACTGCTATGTTCAGTGGCGTCACAAGGGAGGTGCGGCCCGCACCCGGGTGACACCTTTGGTGGGGTGAGACCAAAATGACTGACAGTTATTTTGGTGTCACCCCCTTTAAAAAGTCAGGCACTCGGTCATGGACTGAGAGCCCGACAGTGTCAGGAGAGAGGAGGGGACCCGGCGGCATACCTCATACCTCTTCTCTCTGCCGGCGTCCATCAATAAGATGGCCAGGCGGCGGGGTGTTACCTGGTCTCCGCTCTGGGTGACACCCGGCCTTGGGACGCCCCTGGCTATGTTCTCTCTTAATAGAACCCAGAGTATGGTACAAATTCTATGGTATTTATTCAAGGTTAATTTAATTTGTAAAATAATAAATATTAATAATTGTACATACTGTATATATGTGTGAATGTGTGCGTGTGTGTAAAACAATGGGATGATATAATTAATGCACAGCTGCTCATTATTATTCAGCCAGCATGCTGTGGGTGGGTTCATGAGCAAGCTATACTGCTTAAAGCATATCTAAAGGCATAAACAAAAAAATAGTTAAGTTTAAAAAAAGAAATACATTTAGATTAAGGGGTTTTTTTTTTCTTGCTATCTGTGTCCTGCTGTGGAGATTTCCCTTCATTCTCTGTGAATACAAGAGGAAGCAAGAGTAAATCTCTCCAAAGTCAGCGCATATTCCTTTATAGACAAGTGTGACCAGAACATGTGTCCCCATTGGAAAATCTTCCCTCTACACCTGTTCCAGTGACAACTCAAAATGTTAGACTTTTCTTCACCTTTAGCCGGTGTCCATGAGGACTCACCTGTGAGAACAGAAGTAGCAATACAAATCTGGCAGGTTGCTAATGTCTCTGCACCCTATCTATCCAAAAAGATAGAGATCAGGGACTGGGCTATACAGCATGGCAGTGGTTCCTGGATCACAAGACTAGGAGTATAGGAATCTTACCAGAAAATCTTGTCCTTTATTTACATAGGCCAACAGGCATCACAAGCTAATGTTTGGGGACCCCCCAAGGTTCCTTTCTCTGCCTTCATAAAGGGATCCTGCAAGGTCCCAAATTGTTGGCTTGTGATCAAGGCCAGATTTCCCATAAGGCCACTGAGGCCCGGCCTTGGGGCAGCAGAGAGTAGAGGGGCAGCAGGGGTGTGGAATTCCTATCGCCTGATGCCCGGGACATGCAGTACCGGGCACCAGGCTTGTTAGCTTCTGTGTAATAGCAATAAAGTTAAATGAAAAAAATGTTTAAATATACATTTTAAAAAGTTAAATTGATAAAAAGCAAAAAATAATAAAATAAATAAAAGTAAAAGATAATTTTAAAAAAGTAAAAAATTAAATACAAATTAACAAAATAAAAAAAGTTGTAAAAAAATAATAAAGAAAAAAAATGAAAACCAACCCTGCCACCCCTGCCATCTAGTTGCTCTTCTCCGTGGAGGGGTTGATGGGGAGAAGGGCACATTGAGAAACCTGGCCTTGGGGCAGCAGAGAGAGTAAATCCGACCCTGCTTGTGATGCCTGTTGCCATATGTGAATAAAGGACAACATAAACACCAAACCATAATTTTATGGTGGCACCGTCCACCAATTCATTACAATCTGTTACATGAACCATAAGTGAGCCTGTAACGTGTGCGACAGATGCAATACAACTTCTCAGTGGATCACAAGACTGGCTGAATAGAATTACATATCTTCTAAAATTGATCAAGGGAATATCTGATTGCCTTATAGGATCCGGAAGACAAATTGAAGCATGATTTATAGGGTTTCTTGCATTCCTCTGGATCAACTGTGGATAACTGTGGGCATAGAGGTCTGTGAAGGTTCTCATTCATCCTGGTCATGGTATATATGTAAAAAATAAGTCAAGGCAACTGGACTGGCTGTATTTTTCTTGAAGACGTTTCACTGGACATCCAACCAGCTTTCTCAATTCTGAATTGAGAAAGCTGGTCGGATGTTCAGTGCAACGTCTTGATGGACTGTTGATGGACTGTGTTGTTTGGCTGTCTGCCTGGAGTTCAGCTTTAACTTAATTGTCATTTAATAACATTATTTGCAATACTAAAGCAAGATGAAGGTACAGAAGAAACATGCAATGAAATCCAAACAACTAAACATATGAAGGTAACTCAAGAAAACAGCATAAAATGCAATGAAGGCAGAGGGTCAGCCTGGGAATCACAAATCAAATGGAAAAAAGAATATGGGGCAAGATATTGAAAATAAATGTAGAAAAAATAAAAAGGATGAATGGAATGAAAAAAACTAAATTACAAAAAAGGCTCTGAATATAAACATCATGGCATGGAGAGAAGGTGATGGCGCTCCCATAGAGCACTTGGGTTACTTACACCCGGATGGCACAAGATCTGCCCCGGTAGAGGCTGAAGGCGCTGCTATACAGGTCGCTGAACCCTGACAGGCTGACCTCTGACCCCCAGACACTGCCGGGATGATTGTTGCTGGAGGCTGGGATAAGGGGCTCTACCCCCAGGTGGCGAGCCCCCACCCCCTGAGCGAAGCCTTGCCTGGCATTCTTGGAGTCCCTCTCTACTACCGTCTGTTGACTGCCTGACCAGTCTGAGAACTCATCTGTCTGCGAGAGTCCAGTTAGCGTGCTGGGAGTGGTGTGTAGCGAGCTAGCCAGCAGTGTATCTGAGTCTCCTAAAAGAAAGAAAAAGATGGATGTATTTAAAAAAAAAAAACAATTCCAGGCAACAAGTGAAAGCAATCAAAAAGCTACTAATGCTATCCAGCAAACACAGCAGCTGTGTAACTATCAGGGTCCATTCACACTATGGCATGATGGTAACACATATAGTGTATTGCAGTGCCATTTATAATGAATGCCATCCCATTCCCAACCCACATGCAATAGACATCAATGTGTTGCTGCATGTTGCGCTGTGCTGTAAGACCGTGGTTCTCAACTGGTGGGTCGTGACCCAAAAGTGGGTCGTGACCCCGTGTTCACTGGGTCGCTGCGTGCCTTCCACTTTTCCAGGTGAGGAGCTCCTCAGCTTCTTCCTAGCGCAACACAGTCAGTTCTTGCACCAAGCAGCCTTCAAAATATGCTGCCCCGACCTCGTGTGTCAGCTTGAGGTGGGGTGGGGTGGGCTGGAAGTATGGCCACAAGGAAGCTCCATCCATACATACATTGCTTACAACTCCCACATGTGCCCTGTAGAGGTGCCTGGACTGACGTCACATTCTGGCTCCCGGCACCTCTACAGGGCATACAAGGGAGCTGTACAAGCATTGCACATATGGATGGAGCTCCGTCACAACACAGCAGCCCAAACCGGACCCCAGGCTGAGGATCCACTTCAGTTCTTGTAAATTAGGAAGACTGGGTGGATCTTAAAAATAAAGAAAAAATAAATAAAACATTTTTGGAGTGTGTAGCTGTGTGTGAGATTGTGTGTGAGAATGTGTGTGTGGTTGTGTGTGTCTGTCAGTGTTTTTGAGGGTCCGTTCACACTAGTACAGTGCGTTAATCACACAGTTCCATGCAATCGCACCTACTGTGCGTTCTGGTGTGGGAGGTGCGTTGCATTGCCATTCATTTAAATGGTAGGTACCCCAAACGCACCTCCCACTCAGTTAGATCGCCCGCACCAGAACGTGCGGTACCGCAATGCCTTGCATTCCACTGCAGTGCGACTAGGTTGCAACTTAATGACAAGGACAAATGTGGGTCCTGAGGTTACACAGGTTGAGAACCACTGCTGTAAGGCATATCCATTGGGAGGGCGCATTGGGGTGCCATTCAGAATAATAGATACATACTTTGTATGTTTTCCTCTTTGGGGTGTTTTTTAAATTTGATTTGTATTTTTGCAGGTGTCTAGCACTTTATAAAGGGGTGCGGATTATAATTAAACATAAATAGGCATTGCTTGACTTCTCTTACTGCCTAAAATGCATTATTCCATAAGCATGCCTTCTTGGAAAATGTGACCTTCTGAGTGTTGCTGTCCTTAATAAGCGATTCTTTAGAGCAGTGTTTTTCAACCTTTTTTGTGCAAAGGCACACTTTTTTCATGAAAAAAAACACTTTAGTTTTGTATATTTGAGCTTATTCTTGAATATACATCATTGATACTAACTGTAGCTTGTCCATATATAAAATATATTAACGGATCATCAGAAATTATTATCGGGAGGGCATAAAACCTGCTCGGTAGTATTACTTTAATTGCTGCTTCAAAGGCATTAATGGGGAATACTGTAGATTCCTTCCATTACGCCTGTGACTTCTGCAGGTTATAAATCATTTACATTTACCCTTTCACTATGTGCATCGGTACCTGTTATATAAGGTCATACATTTCTTACAGCTGTACCCTAGGCACATATAAAAGACACACATGACTGCAGTTCTGTAATCATGAATACATTGTTAAATACAATCTGTAAATACAAGCAGTGTAAGTGCCTGACTTTGACCTGGTATTGGTACTTTTGCCTGCTGCTAGATGTCCTCAGTGTGGTAAGCAGTGGTGTCACAAGGGGGGTGCGGCCCTCACCCGGGTGATACCATATGAGGGGTGACACCAAAATGGCTGACAGTCATTTTGGTGTCACCCCCTCTAAAAAAGTCGGGCACTTGGTCATGGACTGAGAGCCCGACAGTGTCAGGAGAGAGGAGGGGACCCAGCCGCATACCTCATCCCGCCGGGTGAACGTCCCCTCCTCTCTCTGCCGGCATCCATCACCAAGATGGCCACTGGCAGATGTCAATTAGATAGCTGGTGTCACGCTCATGCGCGATGACGTCATGGCTGGGTGTCACCCGGTCCCCGCTCCTGGGTGACACCTGGCCTCGGGACGCCCCTGATGGCAAGCATCATTCAACCCACTTCCTCTAAGCCCAGGTCACCCTGAACCCACCGCCAGCCTGTGACTGGACAGTGAAAGGAGAAGCAACACAGTCATGAGCTCATCTCACTGTCACTCTGCTTTCTCCTCTTATCTGCATGCTTCTTTCCTCCTATCTGCCGGCTCCTGTGCTGTTTCTTCTTCGCTGTACAGGGACTGCAAGAGGCTGATACCAGGTCACATTCAGGTGCTGACGCTGCTTGCATTTGAATAAATATATATACATTGATTAATGTATTAATTATTATAGAGCTGCATTCATTTTTGTATTGTATTTCTGCCTAGAGTTCAGTTTTTTATTTTTACACCCCATGAGGACAATGTTCCTTACTTTTTACCTAATGATGGACGTCCCCAGGGTAGAAAGTGAAATTAAATCTCTCCAACAGGGGCACAGACTACAAAACAATGTTTTGAGAAGAGTAAGGAAGGTCTAGAACAAGGGTTCTTAACCAAGAGTATCCATACCCCCTTGGGGTAGGGTAATTAAATGATGGTGGTATGGGATTGGATCCCTGAATAATTTAAAAAATGGATTCTTTGCATTACTGAACCTGAATTAAAGTGAAGAAATCGATTTGATATGTCAGATGAAATGCAAGTAACATTGACGGTAACTGGACCTCCTAATAGGACTCATGATGATGTTTGACAGTCTGGTTAAGAGGGTATGGAGACATATTGGGCAATCCCTGGGGGTCTATAGGCACGAAAAGCATAAGCACCCCTGCCACAGGGCATCGGTCTGGGATTTATTCATGTAGCCCCCTCCCCAATGGAGACATTCTTCCTCTTCTGGTGATGGAGGTATTTTGGGACAGAAGGTGAGGGTCAATCTCACCCAACAAGGACACAGACAAGAACTTCCAACTCCTTCCCAGAACTAACAAAAAAGCTTTGGCTGGAGTATTATAACATCTAAAGTGTATTGTTAAGGATTGTGTTGGATTACGTGTTTTGTGAATCTTACCTGAAGGGGTCCCCAGGGGTGTGTTGTTTGGAGCCCGAATTGTCCGCTGTAGCTGAGGTCCTCCGGTGTCCTCCTCCCCTGGCTCAGAGTCTGTAGGAAGAAGAATTTAACTGTGTTCAAATAATTGTGTCCCGCAGCTATGTCCGAACTTCGTCATTGTACATGGGGATGCCTAATCATGTTTACCTGTGACAGTGAATCTTCTAATAAAACATCTTCAAGTGCAACTATTTTTTAGGTTGGTTCTTTACAGAAGACACCCAGAATCCTCGAGCTGATGAGCTCCAAAAATATTTTGTAACCTTTTTTTTTTTTTTAGCTCAATAAAGAAATTCAGTAGACGATAGCAACTGCATAGTAGACATGTAAGCTGCGGAAAAATTTGGTTCGATACAGATATTTCGAGATTTTGGGATTTCGGTCCGAAATTCAATTCGGTTTGGGGTTTCGGATTCGGACGAAATCCACATTTTTGTTCGTTTCGGATACGTTTACATATGAATATTCATGGCGAATACCACAGAAAACCAAATACAGATATTAATACTAAAGCTGAATATCCCAGACCCGAATGGCTTTCGGATCCGAATTTCTGAATTGCATTCGGGAGCTCCAGAAAGCAATACGGGTCTGTGAGCTATATACATATATCACTAAAGCTGAGGCTTCCAGACACGAATGGCATTCGGGAGCTCCCGAATGCAATTCGGAAATTCGGATCCCGAATGCCATTCGGGTCTGGGAGTGTTATATGTATATACTGTAAATGACTCCCATGTTGCCGTAACAAAACTTTCTATTCAGACCCATTCGGATGCATTAAAGGAGAACTATGAGGTGAGTGCTTTTCACTCACCTCATAGTTCTAGCCGACCTGTGACAATGAGACTGTCACAGATCGGCTCAGTAGATCGGGAGGTGAGCGAACACATACCGGTGTTCGCTCACCTCTCGATCCTGTCACGGCTCTCTGCCGTGACAGGGGAGGGGCTGGATTCCCCGCTCCCCGCTCCGATCCGCCAGCGCTGACTGGCAGAACGGACGGGGGAGGGGGCGGGTACAGCTGGCTCTGCCTCTAGATAGGCAGAGACAGCTGTCAGTCACGCAGCTGGGCGGATCCCGGCATAATTGTCGGGATCCGCTTCAGCTGCGGCGTCTCAGTATACTGAGCCTAGGGTGATGGGAGGACGCTAGTTTGTGTCCTCCCATTATCCTAAGGAGAACTATGGGGAAAAGCCTTAACCCCCTAGTTCTCCTTTAAACCGAAAAACACATCTGAAGTGACTCAATGTTCAGAATGAAACAATCATAAAATCACATTTACTACAGTCATTGCCATGAATACAAATATTACACTGCTGAACAAAGGTGGTGACATGTAGCACAAGTATCAGAAACAATGACAAAAGCCGACTACGTACCATAGCTGTGTTTCCTGCAGGAGCGGAATACTTCGCTTCCATAGGGGCAGCGAGAGAAAGAGATACATCACAAACTGTTAGTAAGAGCACAAGGAGTACATATAGACAGGGACAAGCAGATACATTCATGCACATTGCACTGAGCGCACAGACATTACAGAGTCTTCAAGCATTCCAGGCATGGCTGAGCTGCAATTGGTATTCAGCTTTGAGCCATGCTGTACGATTGCTATTGCTGAATTTGACCTCTAGAGGTCACCAGCAAATGCATATTCCTCTAAAATTACAGCCGGCATCTCAATGTATTTATGCTAAATCAGTGCATGTGCCTGTTCTTGGATAAGGACATGAATAATTTTGATGGATGACATAATATTTTTCCATTCACAGCATGCACCTGTTTTCTGTTCTGTTTGTGTGGTCGTGTGAGATAGAGGTGTCACGCCATAGTCCTTTAGAGACAGGCTCCGTATTGGCAGAGTACATATAAAAGTTGTGATCTGGAGTGCTGGTGGTTAACCTACGAAGAATAGGCAGCCAGTCAACCTACGAGGATTAGGGTGACAATCAACCTACAAGGAATAGGGGGCTGGTCAGCCTAAGAGGAATTGATGGCCAGTCAACCTATGAGGAATTGGGGGCTGGTCAACCTACGAGGAATAGCAGCCAGTCAACCTATGAGGATTAGGGTGACAATAAGCCTACAAGGAAAAGGGGCCAGTCAATATACAAAGAATAGGGGGCTGGTCAGCCTAAAAGGAATTGGGGGCTGATCAACCTATGAGGAATAGCAGCCAGTCAACCTATGAGGAATAGGGGACAGTAAACCTACAAGGAATAGGCAGTCAGTCAACCTACGAAGAATAGGGAACCTGTCAATTTAGGAGGAATAGAGGGCCAGTCAACCTATGAGGACTAGGGGGCCAGTCAACCTGCGAGGAATAGGCAGCCAGTAACCTACGAGGAATAGGGGCAGTCAACCTACCAGGAATAGTGGGCCAGTCAACCTATGAGGAATAGGGGGTGGTCAACCTATAATAAATAGGGGGCACTGCCTATTCCTTGAGGGCCAGTCAACCTACAAGGAATAGGCGGCCAGCAACTTACAAATAATAGGGAACCAGTCAACTTAGGAGGAATTGAGGGCCAGTCGACCTATGAGGAATAAGGGGCCAGTTAACCAATGAGGAATAGGGAACTGGTCTATTACGAGGAATAGGGGGGCGGTCTACCTACAAGGAATAGGGGACCAGTCAACCTGAAAGGAATAGGGGGCCAGTTAACCAATGAGGAATAGGGAACCATTATACTACGATGAATAGGGAGGCGGTCAACCTACAACCCAGATAGCAAGGATAACTTGCCACAAACTTGTGTCGGGGGTTAAATTGTAATTTTGTTAACTTGCTGCACATATTCCTGGCAAGTTGTAGACTTGCAGAACACTTGCAGCACAGGTTCTAGTTGACACTTTTTGAATTTGTAGCAAATTTGCTTGGCAAGTCTACAGCAAGAGTCCTGCAGGTCTTAGCAAGAGCTCTGCAAGCTCGCTGGTCTGGAGACTTGCAATGCAGACTTGCTGTAATTGTGCAACAAAATTGTGAAGCTTGGCAAGTCTGCAAGAGTTTAGCAAGTCATTTTCAAACTTGCAGCACAATTTCTTGCTATCTGGGAAGGAATAGGAGGCCAGTCAACCTACGAGAAATAAGAGGCCAGTCAACCTACAAGAAATAGGTAGTTGGTCATCTTATGACAAATAGGGGGCCAGTCAACCTACAAAGAATAGGGGGGCAGTGCACCTGCAAGGTTATTCAGTGTATCTCATGCTACAGCAGACTGTCGGAGACTGCTGATATATCCCAGGAGATGGTCAGAGACTGGGAACAGGTTACAGGTGTGCTTAGAGACTGCAGCATACTATCGGAGACTGGGGACATGTTACATGGGACTGTTAGAGACCACTGTCATGGGTGTATTTCTCTGCCCGGGAGTCACAGTTGTAATGCATAGGTGCATGCAGCTGGCCTATTCAGATCAATGACAAGCTGGCTCAAGCCAAGCCACGACTGTACAGATACTGTATATAATCAAATCCTATTGTTTATATGCGTACTGGGACTTACGCATCGCCACGAACGCTGAGGGACTGAGTTTGGGGCAGTGCGCATGCCCCGGTATGCATGCAAACAATGGGATTTGTGTATATAGCCGTACAACTGCGACTTCAGCTGGCCTGTCATTGATTTCTGCAGGCTGGCGACATGCCCGTGACTGCCAGGTAGAAAAATACACCTGATCAGTATGCTGTGTGGCCATTACGGTCGTGTGCATGAGGTCTGTTTTTACCTATCGTGTCCAGAAAAGCATGCTCCGTGCCCATTCTAAGTCTGAGTCTACTTTTGTTGTGGAGGCCTCAATTCTGAGAAATGAGAACAAGTCCTCGCCACTTGCGGCACAAAGCTTCTCTCGTCGCCTGACACCCTTGTCCAGTGAAAGTGCCTAATATTGGACAAGAAGGCCCATGCAACACACAGGGTAATGCAGTAACCCATAGCAACCAGTCAGAATCCATCTTGCACAGGCTTGACTTCAGCAGTGTGTATTCTGCTTGGTTGCTATGGTTACTACTCACTTCATTAGCGCCGAGGCATTAGAAGTCATTATTGAATAAGTCCGTTTATGCAGAATAAACGGCTTCATCGATCTCGCAAAGCTTTGGGGATTTGGGGCCTTAATGGTATTTTCATCACGAAAAACAATTAGACTGACAAAAATTGCCCTTCCCTCCTATTCATTAAAAAAAGATGGTATTTTCCCGTCTAATGACTATAATATATTATCCGGATTTCCCGGGCCGCGCATTGGCTGCTGGCGACGTAAACAAGCTGATCTTTAACAACAAAACTAAATCCAAAAGTGCTCTATTTCAGATCCTGGTATGTAGATAAGACGAGGCCCGTCGTACTCAGTCAGGCAGAGGTAACCATGGTGATATCTGACCTTATTTTGTCTGCCAATATTTCGGGTTTTTTAAAATTCTGTCCCCCAGACTGAGCGCCTATGGTGACAGCATGGGAAGAGAAGTATACAAATCCCGTATGAGCGGCGGATGGGGGAGGGGAAGAGGGCAATTAAACGCCTTTGGAGGGGGAGGGTAATATCTATTCTCTCTTCTTTATAAGTTCTAAATAATATAAAGTATCACACTTAAAGAGGACCGGTCCCAATCAAGCTTGTCTCACCGCCAATGCTAAAATTTGGTGACCACACTCCTCCTCCTGCTCAACTGGTGACCACACTCCCCCTGCTGCTCAACTGGTGACCACACTCCTCCTGCTGCTCAACTGGTGACCACACTCCTCCTGCTGCTCAACTGGTGACCACACTCCCCCTGCTGCTCAACTGGTGACCACACTCCTCCTGCTGCTCAACTGGTGACCACACTCCTCCTGCTGCTCAACTGGTGACCACACTCCTCCTGCTGCTCAACTGGTGACCACACTCCCCCTGCTGCTCAACTGGTGACCACATTCCTCCTGCTGCTCAACTGGTGACCACACTCCCCCTGTTGCTCAACTGTTGCTCAAATAGTTTCCTATAATAGAAGAGTTATTATACTTCCCTTTCATATCTCATATCTTCGCTCCTGACAAGAGCCACAGCCTCCATCACTTCCAGGACTATCAGATGCCTCTGCCCCCCTGCCACGTGCCATGGTTTACTCTGTTTCCATACTGTGCCCAGTTGTGACATAGGACGGAACCACCGCATGCAGAGGTGGAACAGGCATCTGACCATCTCGTTATTGTCAGATGCTGAAGATAAGTATGATCCCTATTCTATTACAGGGAAATAGTTTTGGGAATTTGGGTGACAACAGTGTCATTTAAAAATTATAAAACAAAAAATATATAAAATCATTTTTGGGTGGACTGTCCCTTGAATTGGAAGCCCACCTGAGGAAAAAAAAGAGTCATTTACGTCACATAAAAGCACAGCTAGTAACATTCACAAATGCACTCGGTGACACTTTTTCTTCCTTCGCAGGATTTATTGGCGGATTTTTTGATAATTCGTTTGGTTTGTGTTCTCGGAGAGTCGAGGACGGTTCTCTATTGAGTCTCCTCCGGCGGAGGAATCGATTAGATGGTTATTACATTAACCACAAGATATTAATAAACATGGAAAGTCTGGGATTGTGCAGGGAAATGAGCGCGGGGAAATGGAGCAGAAATGGAAACTGACTCATTTTTGGGATGTGAGAAGAACCAGGTGGGAGTGGGAGGTGTCAAGTCGGCCATGTGTGCCGTGACGTACCGATATATAAACATGATGGATACATTGGGATACGTAGGATGCTCGGGATACAAGAGAAATATTAAACTACCATTGCTGACTTATCTTTGCAGGTACCTGCTCCACGGCTCTATATATTCCTACATTACATGGCTCATTGACTTGCAACAAGCAACAAGCATGCATATATAGGATGTTTGGACATCTAATATCCACATCTGTGAGTTCTGAGATAGTCAAAGCAGGATCAGGGGGACAGCCTTGGAGCATGCACCACCAGTCAGCAACAGCAGCCCTTATTGTTCTGTTCTGACAGGTTCTCTTTAAAGGGAACTGAGCTGATGCTGGGAAAAATATGCAGACTGCCATTGTGAGACTCCTTTGTTGCTTGGCTGTCTCCCGCTTAAGTCGCTGACATTGAACATGTCTTGCTGATCTGTTTGGTTAGCCACTTGGAAAATGTTCAAAGCATTTAGATGTCAATGGAAGCCAACGAAGGTGGATTGGCGTTAGTCTTACAGGGACGGTTGGTGTTAGGGTTACAGGGAGGGTTAGTGTTGGGGTTACAGGGAGGGTTAGTGTTAGGGTTACAGGGAAGGTTAGTGTTGAGGTAACAGGGGAGGGTTAGTGTTAAAATTACAGGAAGGGTTAGTTAGTCTGATGGATACCTGAAGGGTTAGTGTTAGGGTTACAGGGAGGGTTAGTGTTAGGGTTACAGGGAGGGTTAGTGTTAGTCTTACAGGGAAGGTTGTTGTTGGACAAAAAGGGAGGGGAAGTGTTGGGGTTACAGGGAGGGTTAGTGTTGGGGTTACAGGGAGGGTTAGTGTTGGGGTTACAGGGAGGGTTAGTGTTAGGGTTACATGGAGGGTTAGTGTTAGTCTTACAGGGAAGGTTGTTGTTGGACAAAAAGGGAGGGGAAGTGTTGGGGTTACCGGGAGGGTTAGTGTTGGGGTTACAGGGAGGGTTAGTGTTGGGGCTACAGGAAGGGTTGTTGTTGGGGTTACAGGGAGGGTTAGTGTTTGGGTTACAGGAAGGGTTGTTGTTGGGGTTACAAGGAGGGTTAGTGCTAGGGTTACAGGGATGGCTGTTGTTGGTGTTACCGGGAGGGTTGTTGTTGGGGTTACGGGGAGGTTTAGTGTTGGGGTTACAAGGAGGGTTGTTGTTGGGGTTACCGGGAGGGTTGTTATTAGGGTTACAGGGATGGTTAGTGTTGGGGTTACAGGAAGTCTTAGTGCGGGGGGTGACAGGGAGGGTTGTTGTTGGGGTTACCGGGAGGGTTGTTGTTGGGGTTACCAGGAGAGTTAGTGTTAGGGGTACAGGGCAGTCTACTGTGAGGGAGGCTCTTTGGGGCCCTTACAAGGTAAATTTTGCCAAATAAAAGGTGTGCACTGCACCCTTACCATGTAATTGTATCAAATTCAGCACATCTTTACCTGCTCTGCTCTGATACATGTTCCCTTGGACTATTTGTGAATGTTATCTGATCCTTTTCTGCATGTATCAACTCTCTTTACATTCCAAATGATTTATTTAAGTACAAAAAAAAAAAGAAAGAAAAAATAACACCAGGGGACATGAAGGATGATGTCGGGGGGCTGTTGTCATTTTAGGGTTGAGAAGGACACATGAGAATTATGGTAAAGCAACGCACCATGAGTAAAGCGTCCGAAGACCCTCCGGGAATGTCCTGATTTCTACAGAGAAGAAAAAGAAGCATCGGCGTTAACGGCAGAAAAAGGTGCATTGAACATAGTGGGTAACCCTTCGCTGACCCCCCGCTGTGCCGTCTTCCCAACCCGCTGTATAAACACAGGTCGCTGAGAGATTTACATTGCATCAAATAATAATGGCTCCAGTAGGAATTCTTGTTCTGTCGCCATGACAACACCCGCTGACCCTGTCACTATCACTAAAGGTCTTCAAAACGCTATACAGAAAAATGGTGGGGGTTGCTTTGGTCTGACAAGATTCCTATTACTTGCTTGTTAGTTATAAGTCTCTTGTGTCTAGGCCTAGAAGACATAGCGGTAAAGCAGGTAATGGAATGATGTTGTTAGGAGCTCTATCCGGGCTAGAACATAGCGACGTTGGAACATTGGTTGGAATAATAATGTTCACAATCATAATAAATGGAATCTTGCAGCTTTGTAGTGTACGTGTGAGGCAGCACTAAATCTTTCTTGGGGTGGGTAAGGTTTGTGGTGGCTCCATTTGTAGAGGATCCTCCGAGCGGGTTCCTTCAAGCATGTGGAGATAGGTGAGGAGCACTGTGCATGAAAAGAAGGTCTTGGAAATGCCACCCGTTTGGAGAACAATGATTACTTTTAAAGTGTATGACATAAAACACGACTAACACGTTTTGGGTAACTGGGGCTCCCTTTCTTCAGGGCTTTCGTTGTCTTAGATATGTTCTACTAGACCTTGTCCTTGACACTGGACCTTATTAGAGGTGGGTAGGCCTGTGGTGGCTCAACCTTTAGAGCAGTGGTTCTCAACCTGTGTAACCTCGGGACCCACATTAGAGGATCCTCGGAGTGGGTCCCTTCAAGATAGGGTTGACACCTGTCCAGGATTCACCTGGACAGTGCGGGTTTTGAATGCTGTGTCCGGGTTTCATGGCAGCAGAAACCCGAACACATGATGTCAAGCAGACAGGGGCAACCAAAATTAAGATAGGAGCTAGTGGCCCCCCACTGAAAATAGTGTCACATGTGATAGTTACATATGAATGGACGGGGATATTTCCATATGAATAAGCTATGACTCACTCTCCCCAAAAAAATGTCCAGGCGTCGCTACAGTGTTCGGGTTTCGCTTGAAGAAAAGGTGGCAACCCTACTTCAAGCATGTGGAGATAGGTGAGGAGCACCGTGCGTGAATAGAAAGTCTTGGAAACTCCATTTGGTTGGAGAACAATAATTACTTTTAGTAATTATTACAAGTTTTGGGTAACTGGGGCTCCCCTTCTTCAGGGCTTTCGTTGTCTTATACATGTTGTACTAGACCTTGTCCTAGACTCTAGACCTTATTAGAGGTGGGTAGGCCTGTGGTGGCTCAACTTGTAGAGGATCCTTGGTGTGGGTCCCTTCAAGCATGTGGAGATAGGGGAGGAGCAACGTGCGTGAGTAGAAAGTCTTGGAAACGCCACGTGGTTGGAGAACAGTGATTAATTTTAAAGTGTATGACATAAAACATGGCCAACAAATTTTGGGTAACTGGAGCTCCCCTTCTTCAGGGCTTTGGTTATGTTAGATATGTTCTGAATGCTCTGCCCATGACCAACATATCTAACACTGCCAAAGCCCTGAAGAAAGGGCGGGGGGGGGGGGGGGAAAAAAAACGTTTTGGCTATGTTTTATGTCCTCCAAGTGGCCGGAGCACTGTACTACAAGGGTCATCACCAGAGGTTGTGCTAAGACATCATGCAAATCTAGATGTGGGATAGAGGATGTTTTGGAATAGGCCATAATAATCATTCAATCATAAGGTCTATTGGTAACCATATACATTACAATCTGGCTCCTCAATATCTGTGTAATCGGCTTTAGATCTACCAAAACCATGTAATATGAGGGCCTACCTAATCTATCCAATCAATTTTTATCCAATCAGACAAGTCCTTGCACTACATAGTTCTTGGTATATATAACGGAGATTGTACAATTAGATTGTAACATGTGCGGTAAGCTTAAAGGCTGTGACACACTGCAGGTGTAGCGATGCGAAGCGAAACAATTGCAACCTTCCACTTCGCACCGCAGCTTGTCTACACTGCAGTTTGTACCGTATTTTTTCATGGCCACCTCTACGGATTCTGCTTGTCATGGTTTAACTATTTAATGTTTAATTCTTTAATTGATTATGAAATATATTTCAATTATTATGAATTAATATTAATAAAATAAATAATTAAACATATCATTTAGTATATCATATATTTCAATTGTATAATTAAATGTTGATAAATGTCTTTATTTTTTTTTAAAGTGCCTTAGATGAGTGCTGGATAGGATAGCACTGGGCTGTATGAACACACCACAGACACTTCTCTTCTGGACTGACCTGACCAGACGCGTTTGGAAACAGGCAGATACTGAAACAGGCAGATACTGATCCCTCAGAACTGAGTGATCTGATTGGCTGGTCGCGTGTGGATGCTTTGTGATGCCTTCATTGCATCGCGTGCTGTGATTGGCTGGAGATGAACTTTTTCATCTCTCGGCGCTGCGCTACGCACGCTGTCGCCGGGCAGAGCAGGGTTTCGGACCTCACTAGACACATTGCTCGCGAAGGGCCGCGAGTCGCACCTGGCCTGTGCTCCACGCCGCTTCGCATACAGTGTGTCACGGCCGTAACACTTCCGGGTTCAGGCTGTCTTTTCTCCAGCTGCTATAACTGGAGAAGAAGCTGGTGAAGAACAATCTGTGTTTCATCAGCTTCTGCGGGGTCCATATAAGACATCAGGAGTCTAATAGACACATGATGTCTTAATAAAGAGGACCTGTCACTTCCGCTGTGCTATCACATAGAGGGCTTGATAGTAAGGATGCACCGATACCGTTTTTTTTTGGTATCGAGTATGAGTATCGATATTTTGCTTTTAGTGCTCGTCAATACCAAGTACCGATACCGGTGCTTCTGCTGGCATGGAGCCGGCTTCCCGGGCAATCAGGAAGCCGGGTGGCATGTTATTATA